CTCTCCCCGAGGAGGCCCTCTCTTCCTTCCCCTCCCGCTGGCACACCCCTGACAAGTTATCGTTTCAATTCGTGTAAGACTACTGTTTGGGAGCACGATTTTTGTTGTTTGCCTTTGTGAGATCGTTGACCACAGGCCCGTTGTGTAAACAGTCACTGGGTACTCGCGACGTAGACGGTGGGTATTCTTCTATTTTCAGGCTGTTTACGTACCTTAGTATCCGTGGGGATTCGAAAGCGCTGCCACCACGTCAGATGGTAATTGTATACTTTAAACAAGAGAAAAACACACTCGAATATCCACAACAATTTATAGTTTAATACTGAAACACAACGAACAGGCCAATGTAAATTAATGCGTGGCAGTAAATTGTCTCACTATGTTAAACAACTGTCCAACCAATGTTGGCGCTTGAAGTGTGGACCAGCTCGTACAGTAACTCGCTTTTCCCCTGTGTCTCTTGATGTTTGAGCAACCCGCCTTAAGCCCGATACCAGCAGGCAGCTACTTCCGTCTGTCCACAACAGAGGCTGTATCGACCAGTCTCGAAAGAGATACTGGGTACTTTAAAGTGCAAATATGAGCCAAATTGTGTAGAGGAGGCCCGGGATTCACAGGTGGAGGATCATACAACCTCATCCCCACCATCCGCCATCTGGGCCTAGAGTTTGTGATGAGTTGTTATACATAGCAGAACATTATACAACATACTCTATTATTATTTTTCAGTATGGTCTTACCATAGGTAATATAAATATTTTCTAACCACTAAATCCTCGCATTCCTCCGAATACTCAGTAGCGGAACCAGGGGTAAAGAAAAATAAGAAAACCACAATTCGTCGTGGAAAACTAAATGTAGCCTATCTGTCACGATTAGAAGACCTTAAAATTTAATAAGCTTTTGAACTAAATTATGATTATTGTCAGGTCTTTGCCTCCTGCTGGACCATCTCCGATGATCTTGAGCGACGCCCGACCACGCTCCCTTCGCTTTCGTCCCTCTGTTTAAAAAAAATATATATTATTCTCCCAAAACGCATCAGAGGCTATTTCCGGGCGTCTAGAAAACAAATATTTCCTGGGGTCATGTCCCTGGACACCTTAGGGTTGTGCTGTCTCTCGATCGAGGAAAATTATACCCCGTTTTACTGGTGCCATCCCTGTGCGAACCAGGGGCACAACCCCATTTTAACTTTCAATAAATTTATTCGGAAATGCTGCATAAGCCTATGACGTTCCTCATCCAATTTATCATCTTCCTGATTATTTACATTGCCAAAATATTCATTGTTCCAATAGACAATACACAAGTTTCACCAACATCATGTTGTCGACATAATTGGGAGAATATTCAGGCCGAAAAGAGAGGACGGGTAGAGGCTCTTCTGACATCTGATGGCCCCTTCTCTTCACCACGTCCAAGGTTCAACAAAGCCCTGAACTCATCTGATAAACTTTCAAAGGTGATCAAAACTGATATCAACAGAAATTTGCGAATACAAGCTCCTCTTTCGACAGTGA